TTTTTTTCTGGTCCGATTTTGTCCACCCGGTTCGGTTCGGGTTTTTCTGGTTATCCGTCTATATCCTCTCTAATATCATATTGTGGTTTGATTTGATTCAGTTAACTTGTTTTTGCCACCATGGTTGAAGAAATCGTTGAAGTAACTCAAAGTTCCAACCAAAGTCTAGCGGAATATGAGAGTGACCGGGAGAAAGTTCACACTTATAGTGTTGACTCAAATCCATCTATTAAAGAACATCTATCACAACAGCTAGAGACCAATTCATCATCTGGTAATCTTTGTATTTCCTTGGCACAAACAGGTAATTATCCTAGAGCATTTTCTTGTTTTGACTCATCTCCGTGGATCATTGATTCCGGAGCTTCTGACCACATGACTAGTTCTTCTAAAATATTTGAGTCATACTCACCTACATATTGCAATGAAAAAATTAAGGTTGCCGATGGCAGTTTCTCTTATATTGCAGGAAAGGGAACCATTAAATTAACCGAAAATATCACTTTTCAATCGGTTCTTCATGTTCCTAAATTAGCCTGCAATCTTCTATCAGTTAGTAAACTCTTTAAAGATTCTAACTGTCTTGTTACTTTCTATGCATCTCACTGTGTTTTTCAGGATCGGTCCTCGGGGAAGACGTTTGGATGTGCTAGGATGCTGGATGGCCTCTACTACTTTGATGAGCTTTCTGGTAGTAATAAAATAACTCAGTGCTTTAGTAGTAACAGTTTTCTCTCTGTTAAAGAAAAAATTATGCTATGACATTTTAGGTTAGGACATCCTAGTTTCTTCTATCTCAAATATCTATTCCCAGATTTGTTTAAAGGAGTTAATTGTTCTCAATTTCATTGTGAAAACTACATCTTTGCAAAACATCATCGATCCACATATTTGCCAAAACCTTACAAGTCCTCCAAACCGTTTTACTTAATTCATAGCGATGTTTGAGGTCCTTCTAAAGTTCTAACTCATAGTGGTAGACGGTGGTTTGTAACTTTTATTGATGATCATACTCGCTTGTCTTGGGCCTATTTATTGACAAACAAATCTGATGTGAAAGATATTTTCAAATGTTTTTACAATATGATTGAAACCCAATTTCAAACCAAAATTAGTATCTTGCATTCTGACAATGGAACTGAATATTTCAATGAACATTTGAGTGAGTTTTTGAGAAATAAAAGTATTGTTCATCACTCCACTTGTCGAGATACTCCTCAACAAAATGGTATTGCTGAACGAAAAAATAGGCATTTATTGGAGGTTTCTCGGGCTATAATGTTTTCTATGAATGCCCCTAAGTACTTATGGGGGGAAGCTGTTCTTACGGCTACCTACCTAATAAATCGAATGCCTACTAAAGTTTTGAAGTTTAAAACTCCTCTTGATGCTTTGAAAGAATATTTTCCAACAACTCTTTTGAACTCTGATTTACCTCTCAAAGTTTTTGGGTGTACCACTTATGTGCATATTCCTAGTCCTTTTCGGTCAAAATTAGATCATAAAGCTATTAAATGCATTTTCTTGGGCTATGATTCTACGAAAAAAGGGTGTAAATGTTTTGATCCTCAAACAAAAAAACTACATGTGAGTATGGATGTATCATTTTTGGAAAATCAACCGTTTTTTACCCAAAATTATCTTCAGGGGGAGAAACTAAATTTAGAGGATGATAATTTTTGGGATATACCTGTTCCTCTTCCTAATGTTTTAAGTCCCAACTTTACTAGTCATAGTCCTGTCTTTACGAGTCCTTCAATGCCAAGTGTAGAAAATTCTGATTCAGGGGGAGAATTACTACGAAATGATCAAATTGGTCCAAATCTTGAGTTTAAGTTTTATACTAGAAGAAGACTCAATCAAACGAATGAGGACCAGATAGCTGACTCATCACAGACCCAATCTGAAACTCCGAGGGATAATTCTGAAACTCCAGGTAATCAATCTTCCATTCTTGTCACTCCAAATATTGAAAATGTCACACCGGTTGTTTATGATCTTGATGTTCCTATGGCCTTAAGAAAAGGAACTCGAACTTGCACCAAATATCCCATTGAAAACTATATCTCCTATGAAAAACTATCAAGTAGTCATAAAGCCTTTACGTCTAGGATAACTAACTTGTTTATTCCAAGAAACATACAAGAAGCCCTAAATGATCCAAATTGGAAAGTAGCTGTTATTGAGGAGATGAATGCTCTAAGACATAATTGTACATGGGAGATCGTAGATTTGCCAAGAGATAAGAAAACTGTGGGGTGTAAATAGGTTTTTACAATCAAGTGTAATGCTGATGGTAGTGTTGAAAGGTATAAAGCTAGACTAGTTGCTAAGGGATTTACTCAAACCTATGGGATTGACTATCAGTAAACTTTTGCTCCTGTTGCTAAAATCAACTCCATTAGGATACTTTTATCTCTAGCTGCAAATTTAGATTGGTCTCTTCACCAACTCGATGTAAAAAATGCTTTTCTGAATGGAGATCTTGAAGAAGAAGTGTTTATGAGTTTACCACCAGGTTTTGAAGCTAATCTTGGAAAGGATAAAGTATGTCGGTTAAAGAAATCTCTGTATGGACTCAAACAATCTCCAAGAGCATGGTTTGAACGATTTGGTAAAGTAGTCATGAGCTATGGATTCCTTCAGAGTCAAGCTGATCATACGATCTTTTACAAACGTTCTGAAAGCAATAAAACTGCAATTTTGATTGTCTATGTAGATGACATTGTGCTTACAGGTGATGATGAAGTAGAACTGGCTACTTTAAAGAAAAGACTCGCAAGTGAATTTCAAATCAAGGACCTAGGAACGTTAAAGTACTTCCTAGGAATGGAGTTTGCAAGATCTAAGAAAGGTATCTTTGTTAACCAAAGAAAATATATTCTTGATTTACTTGGAGAAACAGGTTTGCTTGGATGCAAGGTAGCTGAGACCCCTATTGAACCTAATTTGAAACTGGAAGCTACAAGAGAAGAAGTAAAGGATAAGGAACGATATCAAGTCTTGTGGGAAGACTCATCTACTTGTCTCACACACGTCCAGATATTACCTTTGCAGTAAGCATGGTAAGTCAATTTATGCACTCACCAGGATCAGTTCACTTTAAAGCTGCCTATAGAATTTTAAGATATCTGAAAGGAACTCCAAGAAAAGGTATATTGTTCAAAAAACACAACCATTTGCAGGTTGAAGTTTATACCGATGCTGATTGGGCAGGAAGTATGACAGATAGAAGATCTACTTCTGGTTATTGTTCATTTGTTGGAGGTAACTTAGTAACTTGGCGAAGTAAGAAACAAAATGTAGTGGTCAGAAGCAGTGCTGAAGCAGAATTTAGGGCCCTAGCCCATGGTATTTGTGAAGGGATATGGATAAAAAGGTTACTTGAAGAATTGAGAGTATTTCAGAAAGCACCCATAAAAGTTCATTGCGACAACAAGGCTGCCATCTCCATAGCCCACGATCCAGTTCAACATGATAGGACTAAGCATATTGAAATTGACAAACATTTCATAAAAGAAAAAGTTGATACCGGCGTGATATGTATCCCTTACCTCCCAACAATGGAGCAGACTGTCGATGTGTTGACAAAAGGACTACCGAAAGTACAATTTGACAAGATGGTTGACAAGCTGGCAATGGAAGATATCTTTCAACCAGCTTGTGGGGGAGTGTTGGTTTATTATTTGTAAATATTAGTTGTAAATTAGTTGCCAATATTAATTATTATTATATCTTTATTTCCATTTATGTTTGAGCCTATCTTCTATATAAGAAGGCCATGTATTTCTTATTATCAAAAAAAAAAAAATTGGAATACAAATATTTTTTATTCCATCAAAATCAAGTTGGTATCAGAGCGGGAGGTCCTATGTTCGAACCTCTGCATTGGCATTTCCTCCCCATTTATTATGATTTCCACTTGTTGGGTCTTGATGTTGTTTTCCAAGCCCACAAGTGAGAGGGAGTGTTAGAATCCATATAAATGAATTCAATTTACCCAACCCATCAGCTTAAGCTTTTGGGTTGAGTGGCGGTTTGTTCATTCTTAAGAGGATTAGAGTAGGGGATGAAGGAAAAATTTCTCCCAGTGTTTCTAGGGGACGGTTTCCCCACCCCATTCCCAACCGTCCTCAATTTTGAGTTTTTAAATATTTAAAAATATATATTTATGGACATTTTCTATTAAATTATTAATAAAAATATAAAATATTTGGGACCGATGTAAATAGCAAAGGGCTTAGAGGGAATGAGTTCAAACCATGGTGGCCATCTACCTAGGATTTAATATCCTACGAGTTACCTTGTCAACCTAACGTAGTAGGGTCAGGCGGTTGACCCGTGATTAGTCGAGGTGCGCGCAAGCTGGCCCGGACACACGGATTTTAGAAAAAAAAATTAGGGTTTCTTTCCCCCTATTGTAATTTTTCATATCATCAATGAAATATTTGTTTCTCATTAAAAAAAAATTAAATTATTTTTTTTTGTATGAAAAGTTGTTTTTTGTTCAAAAGAAATTATTTTTTTTACAAGATATGAACTTCTCTCAGTTAAAAAAGAAACAATCTCTCAAAGGGAGAGAATAAGAAAACAGAGTAAAGAAAAAATAATCTAGCTAAACAAGAACGATAATAGGCATAAAATCATCGTCAAGGAGAAATATCAGCCAAGGACGGCCACGATAGAAACCAAAAAGCTTTAAAAAAAAAGCTTCAAAAACAAATCCTGGAGCACCATAGGACTTCAAAACCTACATGGGCGAAGAAGAAACCGAAGAAGGAAAAAACAAACCTCAAAAGCATCCTTCAATTCCTTCAAGTAATCTTTAAGAATCTGAATCCTCTTCTCCACATAAGAGAGAATCTTTTCTTCACGAATGATGGCTAAGTATTCATTTAGAAAGGCGATATAATAGTCATCCAAATGGGATGGATTTCAAATTTAATTATTTAAATTAGTAAATTATATATATACCCTTATTTCATATAAAAATGTATAATTTTAATGCATTTATTGATATTTAATACTTTTTTTTTTTGAACAAAGATACGACTTCTCATTGAAATAATGAAAAGATAATACAAGTGTTCAAGGATACAAACTCCCAAAAGAGTGAAAAAAGAAAAATGTAAATATCAAAATTACAACGAATTAATAAAACCTCCCCAATTAGCATAAATCATAGAAGGAGAGTGATGCATATAAGAGTCGACAAGAGAACACCAAAGTGAAGGTAAACTTAGATGAATAGAAACTTTCGTCGTAAAGTCTTCGTTTCTCTTCAAATAATCTTGAATTCCTCTCGAACAATTCCGAATAATAAGGCTTTGACGACATTTAATCATAAAAACCAAACTGAAGAGGAAAGATGAGGAGGCCCATGTAAAAGCTGAAAAACAGATATTTAATACTTTTTAATACTAAAATAATTAAAATTAAAAGATTCCAAATCGAGGCATTGGGGTGGAGATGGAGAGGGCGTCGAGGGAATGGGGTGAAAATTGGATAGATTCATGCTGTCTAGTGGCTGATGTACGTTTAGAAATGCAAGATAGTTTTTGGCGTTTGGGATGACTTCCAATCATTGGTGAGCTTGTCTAGATTCAGGGCTAGCAAGGGGGTTCATGCCCATTTAGGTTTGAGAATATGGGGCTACCCCATTCGGACTTTAATTCCTCATTTATGTCTGGGTGGAATGTTGCTATGGAAGGGAAGTGGGAAGACTTTCGGTTTGTGAGGAAATTAGCTTCCCTCAAAGGGATGCTGAAGGAGTGGAATCATAGTGTGTTTGGGATCCGAGGATCAAAAAACTGAAGTGTTCAACAATATTCAAGCCC